TTTATTTATCTATTATGTAAAAGATTTTAGCGTGTGCTCCTATCACTAGTGTGTTGTCAAGTAGTTTAACTGATCATTAACACCCCTCAACAGCACTGGCGGCATTGCTAAGAGACGGGGAAACCCTGGAGGACCTGATGAAGCTATCTCCAGAAGAACTGCTGCTACGCTGGGCAAACTTTCACCTAGAAAATGCTGGCTGGCAAAAGATCAACAACTTCAGCTCTGACATCAAGGTGGACAATAAAGCACTTGATTCACAATGCTCATTGAAACACTAGCTGCAGTTAGGAAAACTACTCAAAAATGTATTTTATTATTTTCCAGGACTCAAAGGCCTATTTCCACCTCTTGAATCAAATCTCTCCAAAAGGTACAGAGGAAGAGCATCCCCGCATAGACATCAACATGTCAGGCTTCAGTGTAAGCACTCAGTCAGCGTTCACAACTGAGTATCTTCAGCACATGGTAGCAGCTGTACAGTGTCTCTGATTGCAGTGTGTCTTCTGTGTGTTGTTCAGGAGAGAGATGACATAAAGAGGGCAGAAGCCATGCTGCAGCAGGCCGACAGGCTTGGCTGTCGACAGTTTGTCACCCCAACTGACGTTGTCAGTGGAAACCCCAAGCTCAACCTCGCCTTTGTGGCCAATCTGTTCAACAAATACCCAGCACTGACCAAACCTGAGAATGAGGATATTGACTGGGGACTGTTGGAGGGTATGTAGAGCAGAAGGACTACAGCTTTAAACTGGATGACTGACTAACGGTCCGGCAGGGTGTAGAAACAAATTTTAATGTGATAACAAGCCGCTCCTAACTTTTACTGAACTTTGATCTATTCAGTTCTGCATGTTTAGAGTCACACTGACTAGTATGGCTGGCAACTGGATCACCTAGAAGATCCCTAACTCCCTTGTTCCTTTGCTATCTAGATGAGACACGAGAAGAGAGGACATTCCGAAACTGGATGAATTCTCTGGGGGTGAATCCAAATGTCAATCATCTCTATTTGTACGTACTTCACACGTCTCTTCTGTGTGTACTCTGGTATCTGAAGAGATCTCCCAACTGGTGGGAACTTTTCTGTTTAATGTGAATGAGTATCAAATGCAGTCTTGTCTTTCAGAGACTTACAGGATGCCATGGTCATCCTTCAACTCTATGAGAAGATTAAAGTTCCTGTTGACTGGAACAAGGTCAACAAGCCACCTTACCCCAAGCTGGGAACCAACATGAAAAAGGTAAATCAGATCATTTTAATCAAGGAAAAAAAACTTTTTTGCCCGTCTTTGGCTAACTGTTTTATTTTGTTTCCATAGTTGGAAAATTGTAACTATGCAGTGGACCTGGGCAAAACGGCCAAGTTCTCCCTTGTTGGCATCGGCGGGCAGGACCTGAATGATGGCAACTCTACTCTGACTCTGGCAGTGGTGTGGCAGCTGATGAGAAGGTGAAACACAGCGACAGCAGCTTGTCCTCAGAAAGGAATGAACCAGAAATATGTCTCCAGAATGTAAAAAAATAATGCCAAACCAAGCAATGTGTGGTGGATTTTCACAAGTGCCACCTTTTAATTTGAGTCTTATTTAAATGAAATTTGAATGAAAGAAAACAAGATTTAAGTGTTTGTACCTATCAAAATATATACATTAGAAACCAGGGTTGCAATCAAAGAATTACTCGGTTTATCTGTAAATAAATGCTTGGGATATTTGGGCAGATGACCTTGGGTTGGTATCCAAGTCAGTCAGCCTGTGCGTGGTATTTGGAAACTACAGTCATCGTCAACAGTTTTCAGTGTCAGATTCATTGTGATAACTTTGTATATTTACTGTAAACAGTTTCTAGGGAGTTGGTAACCTTGTGGTGTGTGTGTGTGTGTGTGTGTGTGTGTGTGTGTGTGTGTGTGTGTGTGTGTGTGTGTGTGTGTCCAAATCAAGATCACATTTCCATGAACTTGTTGGCATATTTAGCACTTCCCCACACTTCATATAGGGAACTGCTATTTACTTGTCGGTTTCCAAGGTCTGAGTGACCCAAAAAAGCACAACAATACAGAAGTCCAGGCTGACTGATGTGGCCATGCGCATTTAGCGTTCAGTGTTGGTTCATTAAAAGAGCAGTCCTGGATGAACTTTATTTCCCTAAGAGCTCTTATTTTTTTCATAGCTTTAGTCTTACATTAAAACGTGTCCAGTTCATATGCGTAATAAGCAAGTCGCTTCTCTGCTCTTGCAGATACACGTTATATGTACTGGAGGGATTAGGAGACGGAGAGAAGGTAAATGATGACATCATTGTAAAGTGGGTGAACAAAACCTTGGCGCAGGCTGGAAAATCATCCAAGATTTCGAGCTTTAAGGTAAAGCTGTTTTTCCTGTTGTTGCTGTGTAAATTAAGAGTCTAATATGTAATTTAAAATCAAATGAAAGGTGTTACAAGGTAATCTAGGCTCCAAGGCCTTTTTATTAATTTTTTAGCTTTTTCTGAACTTGTAACCTCATCTCAGCAAATGGAACTGGCTAAGTTTAATCTAAAGTCTAGGTGTTCTTAATGCCATATAATCCAAATGGCAGTGAATTATCACAGCATATCCTCAGTCTGTGTATGTGCATGTCGTGGCGATCAGGACAAGGAGATCAGCAGCAGCTTGGCCGTACTGGAATTGATAGACGCCATCCAGCCTGGCAGCATCAACCATGACCTGATCAAAACTGGAAAACTGTCTGAAGAGGACAAGCTGGAGAATGCCAAGTAAGATTTTTCAGTCCAAAACTGAAAATGCCATTACGGTGGTAACTTTGTGTGAACACAGTTATACGAGTAAACCTCTTTGTCCTTCCTAGATATGCCATATCCATGGCCAGGAAGATAGGTGCCCGTGTCTATGCTCTCCCAGAAGACCTCGTGGAGGTCAAGCCCAAAATGGTGATGACAGTCTTTGCCTGCTTGATGGGTCGGGGGATGAAGCGGGTCTAAGAGACTGTGTAAGACTTACTCATCCCCCCAAGCCATTAGCTTTTTGAAAGAGCTCTCCCACCTGAAGGAATGAAGGTTTTTGTTTTTTTGGTTTGGTTTGTTTTTTTGTTTTTTTTTGTTTTTTTTTTTTAAAGAATGTTGTCAGAATCATGAATTTGCATGTATCCCTGCCTCCTGTGATCAACAGAGGTGTTAACTGAAGAATATCATGCTGTCTTTTCGTTTGAAATGAGTCCACAATACTAAAAGTCTTAAAGGGGTGGGTCTTTTGTTACACAAAACAACTCCTTACATTCAGTATGCAGAACTCTTAATTCATCTATAAGAATGCTGTTTTTAGAGCAAATATGCATATTTCCAGCTGCAAGGTTGTTTACATATTTTTACTCAAACTGATAAGTAAATGATGTCCTTGACTAAGCAACACACATTCCTGAATACCACGAATTATTACTTTGCTTGGCAAGGCAAAATAAGTAAGAGAGGCAGGATGTTTAGGCACAGAACCCGTCACCTAAACGTTCCTTCATGTAACAAAGTACAAGCAAGTCTTAATAACTGGCACCATAAACTTCTACATATCTGCAAGCAGAAGCCTTAAGGTTAGATTATATTCATGACAAGGCTCATGTGCTGTCTGCATTTTTGTATTTGTCATTTGTTTGTTTCTTGAGATTATTACCGAACTGCTGCTTTGGGGTGTCTGGTCTTTTTGGTTTTGTTTGTTTGTCATGTCGGATGAGGAGCATGCTGACTGGACTCTCCTAGCTCCTGCTGTGCCTTCTTGTCTCAGAGATGACACGTACTTGTACTTTGAGGCCTTTTTTTTTTTTTTTTTTTGTATTAAACATTTCCAAATATAAACGGCAACTTCATTCCAGGTAGCTTCATAATATTCTATGACAATGGCCGAATTGTATTTGGTCTCATGTTCATGTCTACACTTAAGTGCTTTACATGCAACAATAAATATGCCTTTGAAATCTGCTTGTGTCTTAATTTTTATAGAAATGCAGTAAAAGCACATCATTAATAATACACTGCTTTTATTCTGACTAAACAGGACTGGATTTGCAGGTATCTCGATCTGGTTTTAACAACACAGATGTGATCATAACTAATTATATTTTTACATTATCTATTAAACATGTTCATCACTAGAGGTTTTTGTGTTTTACAACACTGAAAGTGGATTTAATGTGGCTTTTTGGACAGTAAGTTACAGGTACAACACTTTTTTTTTTTTCATCATTAACATCATTTATTGCCATATGTACACATAAATGTGTTTACAGTATCTACAACATAAATCAGTTCCATAATCAGCCACTGGAGTGCAATCAAATGCTGAATTCGCTGAGAGAAGAATAATCTGAACAATAAAATTAATATACTAAGTCACATCTTATCAATAGTCAACAATAAAATGAAAAGCATGAATGAACAGTGGCGCACACGCAAGTAATGCAACACACTAGATCATAATTGGTCATTTAAAAATAACCTGAAGTAGATAAATGTGTCTCACACATGTTCCTGTCAGTGTGTAAACTTTTTAGGAACATTTTTGCTGCTTGTCAAGTCAGATATGTAAACATAAATTTGTTTTGGTCAATGCCTTATGGAAGCCATTTCCAGCTGACCTTTTATACTTCATCTGCTATACAACAGCACTAGTAGGATAAAACGTAGTCATCACAGTGACAATGTAAATACCATATATCCATGTGGTGTCATTACACCGTCTATTCAGCTTACAGTGTGTACAGAAAGTATTCAGACCCCCTTAAATTTTTCACTCTGTTATATTGCAGCCATATGCTAAAATCATTTAAGTTCATTTTTTTTCCTCATTAATGTACACACAGCACCCCATATTGACAGAAAAACACAGAATTTTTGACATTTTTACAGATTTATTAAAAAAGAAGAACTGAAATATCACATGGTCATAAGTATTCAGACCCTTTGCTCAGTATTTAGTAGAAGCACCCTTTTGAGCTAATACAGCCATGAGTCTTTTTG